AGAGGTTGTCTGTTACGGATGATTCGATTGCAGGTAGCCCTCGCTCTGTGTTGGCAGGGTTACTCAAAGAGCCCCGTCTCCTCGGGCGCTCGCACACACATACCTTCTCCTCCTGTGAGGTGAGAGGCCGTGGGGTCACCACTGCATGAGCTTTTCCTGTAGTTAATGGTTAGCATTCATCATATGTATATATTTGATCAGCCCTGAATGTGAACTTTTAATTTGTGAGGTGTTTTGAAGAGGAGAGCAAGTATCGCCGGTGGAATGTGTGCGTCGTGAGGGAGGAATGGAAAGAATGAGATCATACTCATAGCTTTGAGAAAGAGGTGATAGTTCAGCATGCATGTTATTCTGTAAAATTTCAGCAAGTCATTTTCAAACCAAACTGCTTTCTTTTGGTCAATGCGGCGAATATGCGTAGCCAACTTGAACACTAGTGAAATCTGTGTGAACTTTTTTGCCCTCACATGAAACTCCCAGTTGCATGGATTCCTATTGAAATGACTGGATTTCACTTGTGAAATTTCATCAGGCACAAGTAAATGTGACTTTTAGGCTCTTCCATCTGTGCATAGTGAGGCACAGGAGAGCAGGTTTCTCCCCTCTTAAAACATCCAGGCTGTTCATTCTGTGCTTCCTGCCTATGGTTAGGATCTTTCCGCAGTGAATTCTGTTATCCAAGCTTTCTTTTGGTCAATGCGACGAATATGCGTAGCCAACTTGAACACTAGTGAAATCTGTGTGAACTTTTTTGCCCTCACATGAAACTCCCAGTTGCATGGATTCCTATTGAAATTACTGGATTTCACTTGTGAAATTTCATCAGGCACAAGTAAATGTGACTTTTAGGCTCTTCCATCTGTGCATAGTGAGGCACAGGAGAGCAGGTTTCTCCCCTCTTAAAACATCCAGGCTGTTCATTTTGTGCTTCCTGCCTATGGTTAGGATCTTTCCGCAGTGAATTCTGTTATCCATATGGAGTATATGGGTGTGGTTGTGAGTGAGGCAGCTCTCCAGTGTCATTTTTTTTATGTGCACGGTATGTGGAATTTCCCAAATGATTGCAACAGTCTTCCTACTTCCTACCTCTTCCTAGTTGGTAAGATGTTGCCACAGGTAACATTATTTCACAAGTTGTGTTGGATGTGTCAGTGGCTCAATATTAAAGGAATAGTTTATAATAAAAAAACAATCATTACTTATCCCCCCCTCATATCCTTACAAACCTGTATGACTTATATTCTTCAGGGAACACAAGAGGAAATGTTCTCTGCTCTTTTAGAAGCATTTTATGAGATGTTCAACTCCAAAATGTTCAAAAACGCACCATGAAAGTCTCATAAAAGTAGTTTATGACTCACACACTATATTAATTTACAAGCCTTCTGAAGCCATACAATACTGTAGTTTTATGTGAGAAACTACATTTCTCACTTATATCTTTCATACCCATCACTTTCATATCTATATATGAAATTAAATAAATGTGCAAAGTAAATCTCAATAAAATTATTTTAGTTTTGTCAGTGTTTTGCCTTAACAAAATCCTTAAAAAGGCAAAAATATGAAAAGATGAAAGAATAAATAAAAGTTATTGACACATTTATTGTTCCTCTATTGTAAGTCACTTTGGCGAAAAGCATCTGCTAAACACATGCTAATGTACTCAAAACTTAAGAAGATTATTCTAATTTTATGTAGATGGTGTAGATGGTAATGGTGCTTTTTTGTTGTTGTTCTGGAGCTTAGCAGCCCCTGGTCACTATAATTTATTGAAAAGAGCTACGACAACATTTTTCAGAACATCTCCTTTCATATTTTAGTCTGTCTTAGTCTTGCCTCCTTTCTTGATGTCTTCCTCTGCTTCTGACCTGATTTCGTAAGTGTGCTCCAGATTTTGTCTGCCCTGGTAGGAGTCTGTTGATCTGTAAACAGGCGCTTTTAATTCAGGCACACAAAATTAAAAAGCAGTTTGCGTGAAATATGCCAAGCATATGTGTGTTAGCATTCTTTGCTTGGGAGAATGGTGTATTGCGGTCTTCCACACCAGTTCTGACATAACTACATTATAAAATGCTCTTGCTTTCAGACCCTTGATGATGGCCCTCTTCCAGCGGCAAAGCAGTACATGTGGCAGAACCGCCCACTTTCCGAGTGGACCAATCAGCAGATCTGCCACTGGTTGATGGGCATGAATATGGAACAGTATATAGCTGAGTTCACAGCTAAAGGTGTGGATGGCCAACATCTCTTGTGCATGGACAGCAGTAAACTTAAGGTTGGTCCATGTGTTTTTTGATTATTTAAATCAATACTACAACACAAAATTAATGTTACAATGAAATATGTGTTGTCTTCCAGGAGCTTGGCGTTTCTAGTCAAAGAGATCGCTCCTCTATTAAAAGGAGATTAAAAGACATGAAGAAGGCTCAGGAAAAACTTGAAAAGCAGCAAGTAAAAAAAGAAATAGAAAGGGGGAGAGAGAAAGAGGCCAAGATTAAAAGCGGCCAATCAACAAACCTTGAATCAGCCTGCTGAGGTAGTAACAATGTCAAGGGCTGCAAATGTGCACGCTCACCGACCCAAGGAATGATAATTTGTTCTGATAGAAATGGAGTAGACTGTCTCACACACACAGATGATTTGTAGACTGCTGAGAAAGTAACAACATGGGTGAACACATCAAAACCAGAGGTTTTCTGCCAGTAAAGCCTAACGGAACACATATTACTGTAAATGTGTCTTTGATAAGCTTGTTATTAATATCTCTTTTTGACACAACCCAGGAGTTAAAGAATCGATTCCTGTCCATCACACTGACATTGAACATGCATAATGGCACTTTGAGAAAATGGGAACTTAATCTAATTATCCAGAAAGGATATTTCATTGCCTTTAACTGATTTGTTTGAGGGCTACGAGTGTTATAAGATGCTGCACATGGTACTAAAAACGATTTTACAGCTGTCCACCAGAGAGCACCGATGTTAAATATCTGGCAGTTAGTAAAAATGCCGAGATTGTTAATCTCGTTCTTTAGATTTAAACGGCAAATTATCATGAGCCAAGCTGCTAGTGCACACTCTGCACTTTAGCCAAAAGTGAACTAACAATCCACGTGTGAATGTCTCATGTGATGCGCACACATTCCCAGGGTTAATAGAGCACATCAGGTAAGCTTCGGCTCCCTCTCCTAGTGTGCACTTTTAAGTGAGCACTTCACCACCCAGGACTTTTCTTTTTTGGAAAGAATCACCTTTTTTAAGTCTACTGTATATAACTCATAGTAATGTACATTTTACTGCAGAGAGGAGAGTAATTCATTGTCTTCTATGTCACAAATGATGATGATTTTACATGTGTATTAACAAATAAATATTTTACAATTATATCATTTTATTTACTATGTCTTTTTTTAACGAATGTCTGGGACATTTGTTTGTACCTTATGACACATGTAGCTGCAAAGACATTTCATGAACTGTAAATTAAATCTAGCTTTCAAAGCACACCTGACAAATTGATTTAGCATTGATTCAGATGATGCATCCAACATTTTGCATCACTGTCAGCTTAGCGATCTACCTACATTTTTTGATACGTTATCTTATGCAGGTTGGTAGAGGTACTATTGATAGGATCCCAGTATAACCTTTCAGTTTATAAATAAGCCTTTCCAGGTTTTCAATCTACAAACTTTGAAGAAGGCATGTTTGTAGCAAAATTAATTTAACATAGTATGTTATTGTTTTAAATGTAGTGACATAATGAAAAAGATTAAATTATTTCACTATTAATTAAAATGTGCATGCGTTACATGTGAATTAATTAGCTACATGTGAAATTTTTAAGCAGAAAGACTGATGTAGTATTTTATTGTAAAACGCACTCCAATAATCTGTTCACAACTTACATTTTTAGTGTGCGTCTGTGTGATAGCCTTTAGTCCATACATACAATAGCATATTGCTTGCCTTAAAGCTTATACACTAATATGCACAAAACTCAACATTTTATTTAATGGAGTCACTATTTTATGAGAAAATTAAATAGTTGAGTTTCTGATAAAAGCAGAACATGTTTCACTAGCTTGAGCTTGTGATATTGGTGACTTGGTAAGACAAGAGTGGAGGGCATTCACTATGGCTGCTGCATCTTTCTCAGTTTGAATGAATGCTTCAGTATGAGTCTTGGTCTGCGTCACCTGCATCAGTTTCTGTGCCTGTCTACTTCACAAGTCTATGCCTGTTTATCAACGCTACATCTTTGCCAGTCACGTCAATCACTAATCCTGTGCTCATGTCTCAAGTATTAGAGCCATTTTTTGTTGTGTAGCTCAATCTTGATTTGCCTGTACACTCTGTTCAGGTGTCTGTTCTATCAGACCCATTATGAGTCTCCACATTTCATCAGTTAGTCTGATTACATGTCGTCGAACTCTGTACATGTCTTTTGTATTTATCCACAGCACCATCGCACGTCAGTCTTTAAAAGTATATTCCAAATTTATTCAGATTTACAGCTGACAAAACCCCCAAAACTATTTGTTTAATTAAAAAATGTGTACCTCATAAATTTAGGTCCAGCAAAAAAAAAATTATTTGAATTTCATTCATTCAGTCTCAATTTTGTGTGAGCTAATAAATTTGTTAAGTAGCTAACATTCAGACATCACCACTGACCAATTCAACAAGTCACTTAACACATAAACAGAATTAATACTTTTCATTATTTAAGCATTTGCATTGCCAAAAGGCGATGTTTTAAAAAAATTAAAGCAACTTCACATTCAAACAAAGATAATTTCAAATGACCTTCAAAAATTAAAAGAAGAAGCTGATCTTACAATGGATTGTGGCACCCGATAATATATCAAACATCTATTTATAACAAAGTAGTTCTTAATAAATCAATCCCAGTTTTAGTAGTTTAAGTACAGTGGGGGGAAAAAAACGCGTATGAAAATAAAATATGTACCTGAATGGTTTTAACAATAAAACAACAAATAAAAAAATTTAAAATCCAGACACATATTTACATTCATCTAAGCAGTTTTAGCTGGATATCAAGATAAGAAAAAAAACGAACCAAGAAGTCCTGACTCAAGCCATTCATAAAATAAAACAAAAATTTAAAATCTTTGGCATTTGTACAAAAGAACCATCTGCTGTGAATAAATACATTAAATGTATATACATTACTGTGTGCATGAGAAGTGAATTGTGATATGAAAACGTGGTGGAACATGGAAGCAAATTTTAATATAAAACAAAACACAAGTAAACCTATTTTTTTATCCTTGTTCATCATATGTCTTCCAGACACCATTTTCTAATACAATCTCTAAAAATCTCTATCAAGCTCAAATGATTCCTTACACATTTTGATGGAGTAGTAACAGTAAGAAAAGTTCAGTGCGTGCAAAAAATAAGCATTAAAGGCTTTAGGAAGGGAGTCTTTGGTTTGCTTTCAACCAGGTTAGCATTTAGCTATGAGTAGCTCTCATTCTCATTCCAAGAAGTCATCCATTGTTTCTTCTCCGGAGGATCCATTTCCTCTTTCCCCCTCTCTTCCCTCTTTATCCGCACAGCATTATAACTGGGGACGCTTTCGTCATACTTGGAACGTTTGAAAAATCCACACTGTTCAGGAAAAAGACAATTAGCGCAAGTTCATGCTAACAATGCTAAACAGCATCATTTATACAGGAAAATGAGCAAAAAACACAGACGTAGTGTTGTTTGCAGTGTGTGCAGCATGCCTAGCATGAGGAAAGAACAAAACATTCAATGTTTTAAAGATGATATAAGCAAGAATCGGGCCGTATAAGAACTGTATGTGCCGAAAGCGAGAGTTGCTCCGATAAACATCCCATTCAGGCCAGAGAAAAGTGCAAGTTTCTAAATCAAGCCAAATCTCAGTCATACACAGTCACACGCACTTGAAAGCTGAGTGAATGCAAACATGTATAAACCCTTTTCCAACAACAACTTCATACATGATTAGTTTGCATTCCTCATAGCATTTCGCTTATGTCTGAGCAATGAAGCCATGTAAACTGCCACCATCACCCCACATCTAGGCATTGACAGGTAGCATGTGCGTCAGACTCAAGCTAGGGCTGATCCAACTCTTCATGCTAGCTCTGAGCACGCTGGTCAACTTGATCTGTGAGATCTTTTACCCTAAGAGAGGTTCTCGTTCTCTGTTTCTCTTCACGCATCTGAAGTCAGCCTCTCTTTTTCAGGTTCTTTGTCGCTTTTGCCGAAAAAACCACACTAAAAGGGGTAAAGGTTTGTGTTTTAAATACTTAAAGTCATATGAATAGTACAGAATGATGAAAATCAGTTTTAATAAAAGTGACAGTAAGGCCCAATCCCAATTCTATTTTATACCCCTTCCCCTTCCCCTTCCCCTTGTCCCTTGAAACAGTGTCAAGGGGTAGGGGTCAAAATATTCCCCTAAGAATTGGGACACCACTACTATGCCGTCACACGTCATCATACGTCGTCTAGCTCCTACAATACACACACCTATACTGGTGTGCATTAGATAATTACCGTTCTATATTAATGCGCTGCTCACTGACACACACACATATATGTATATATCGGAGATCACGCAGCTCACACATCCAGGAGAAAAGAAACTTGTCAACGCTGCCCCACGACTTTTATTAATAACAGTTTAAATACTGAATTGCTCCATTATATTTTCCAGAAACGAGAGGATATAATAGCTGTTTTTTAAGTAAACTCACTCTAAAAAGAGAAACGCATAGACGCGCATACACACAACTTTCATCTCTCTCTCTCTCTCTCGAATTGGCAATATTTGAGAAAAGGGTTTAGCGATTTCTAATTATTGGGGGGACTAGCCCCCTCAATGTCTACGGTGCTTCGCCCTGATCAGACATGAATATATGTTGTTGCACTATCGTACAGTCTATAATGATATGACGTTTGTTAGCAAATATTAGTGATTTTTTGCAAACATTTCTTTGAGTAACATGACCGTAAATATGAACTCACGATTGAATGTAACATAAAACAAATGATTACTTTTCGTTAAAATCTTTATTAATGCCAAAAATGCTTACATTTATGTGTCTGTTTGTTCACTCGGGCAGCCATGTTGCACCTGAAGCCGGTTTACGCTGAGATAATTCATACCCCTTCGTTTGAAGTGTGGTCCTGAAAAATCTTCGTTTGAAGGGCTGTCTGGCCCTTCCCCTACCCCTACCCCTCCAACCAAAAGAGAATTGAGACACCCCTACCCCTTCATGTGAACGCGCGAAACGGAGGGGTAGGGGAAAGGGGAAGGGCTAAGTGGTAGAATTGGGATTGGGCCTAAATACAGGGTTAAGTAGTCCTGGTTGGGTCTGGTTGTGAGTTTAGTTATATGTTCTTACCTTCCAAAGCAAGAACACCAAAAGGCCCAGCAAAAGGAGTCCTAGTAAAATGGCCACCAGTATGACCCACCAGGGCATACCGCCATACAGCGCAACTTTGCGTTCCGGAAACACAGTAACGCGTGCCTGTAACAGGACAAACTGTCTTTCAAAATGCACTTATCATCTCAAGCTGAGTTTTCAATCCTGCATCTAAAGTCAGTTTGATAGAGAAGACAAACTGATCAAAACATGGAAGGAGAAGTATATATGGCTAAAAGCTGAAATGGCCTCACCTGTGCTGGCTCATTTTTCAGCTGTATATTTGTAGCTGAGGACTTGAAATCAAGTGATGCCTTGACAATAATGTCAATGTAGTTCAATTTTGCATAGTCCTGTATGAAATAGTTTATTAATAGTTTAATGACATGATATAGTGTCCATAAAGAAAAGGAAAAATATTTTTTAAAAAGAATGAGACGGTTCTACTTTATAACACCTCTGCCAAGTTATTAGAAACATTCTATCTGTAATTTTGTTGGTTTCATATGTTGTAATTTTCAAGAAAAATGTAATGCATATGAGTGAACACATCTCATATGATGATGAAAAGGTTTTTAAACACAGTTTGCAAAGTATTTTTATGGATTTCATGAATTATTAATCCTACTACATGACATTTTTACCTTGACACACTCACTTTTTTTCTTATATTAATAAGCAGTCAAGCAGTTTTGTTAAAATATTATTTTTTAAAGAAGTAATAATAATTTATTATTAATACATTTAATAGATTATGCCATTAAAAAAAACATCCTACTGAATGATCACACTCACCTCCAGGAAGGTAGAGTTCCAAAGGTAAGCTCTCAGGCTGATGACAGCATTGCTGTCCATTCCCATTAGAGGACATTTGAATGTGATGCACTCCGCCCCATCTTCACACGACTAAAAACACAACAAGAAGTCAGTGATTAGAAACAAGACACAAGGAAACACATACAGGGCATATTCAGACTTTAGTTTTGCAGCCTTTAGCTAAAATGCATTTACTTATTGTTTTGAGGATCTGAATACTTCTGTCAATGTGATATTTCAGTTTTTCCTTTTTTAAATATTTGCTAAGTTATAACTCATTGTGGGGTATTTAGTGTAGTGATGTTAAAAATTAGACTATTAGTCTGAATACTTTCTGAACGCACGGTATGCTTCATGTTTGGGTGACTTTACCAAAACTGTGTATTTCCTCTTGTCAGTAAAAAGAGAGACTGTTCCCTCTTTTGCAGGAGTTTCCTCAATTTCACGTTTAGTTCGTGACACTGAAGGCTCCTAGATAACCGTAAAACAGAACAAATAATCAGTTCATTTCTATATGGATGCAACTTGCAATAATAAATATTTTGACTAGGACTACCTTCAAACCGAGTTTGTTGACTTCATCTTGATTGGAGCAGATGAAGCTGTCTAAACCGGTTGAGGTCATCTTCATGAGGTACAGCAGCCACTTGCCTTGAGAGTTATGCTTAGGCCATTGGATAATCATAGAAGCCGTGCCGAATGATTTAAGGGGTTTGCCCAAGTTTGTAACCTGTAAATCAATATATTTAACAGGATCCATCTTTTTAAAAAGCCACTAAATAGTGTGACATGTAAGATAGTTAGAATGCAAATAAATAAATATTGTATAAACAAACCAAAGGAAGTATTGTACATGTAAAATGTATGCTTTATTTACAAAATGTTAGGAACTCTAATAGTCACCCTGAATTCATAGTCAATTGGACTGCCGACATCAGATGCCAACTTCATTGCACTCTCTCCTTTAACTTCTCCAGTAAAGTAGAGCTGAGATGGCTTAGCAATGCTGTAGATGATACATGATGACAGTGCATGAAGATACAAATATAGGACATTGATATTATCATCATCAGAATATGGGAAATGATAGTGCAGTTTGCAAACCTACCCTGAGAGGGACAACAGCAGCTGGATCTTAACAATGGCTTTGGCTTTGATTGCTTGTAACTGCTTCTGATCACTTGTTCTGCAATTAACAAAACGAAAAATGGAAACATGAATCTATGAATTCTGACATGTTTAAAACAAAAGAAAATACTAAACTGATACTGTGCCTTTGGCAAGAGTTATGTTGCTACTCACGTTTTGAGTTTAAGGTCAATTTCAATTTCAGTGGTATCCAAAGAAATTCCACCCGTGTTCAGAATGATGTAAAAAGTTGTCTAAAAAAGTTATTATTTTTTTCAAAAGTAAGTCCACACACCAAAAATAGAGCTTTTCTATTATAATACCATAAAATAACAATAGCGATAAAAATAAATACTATTATATTGTCTAATATACTTTAAATATTCACCTCAGCATCTCTTTTGAATGGATTTCCAAGTTCACAATCGGCTTGTGACCCATTCTGATTGGCTAGACAGGTGACTGGTTTATCCTGTAAAGATTTAAGATCACTTAAAGGGTTAGTTCACCCAAAAATGAAAATTAGGCTGTGTTTTACTCACCCTCAAGTCATCCTAGGTGTATATGACTTTCTTCTTTCAGACGAATTCAGTCGGAGTTATATTAAAAATTGCCTTTAATCTTTCAAGCTGTTTATTGGCAGTCAGCGGGTGTTGCAGTGATTCAGTCCAAAAGAAGTTAAATAAAAAACACCCATCCATAAAAAGTTTCTCACACGGCTCCGGGGGGTGAACAAAGGCCTCCTGTAGCGAATCGATGCGTTTTTGTAAGAAAAATATCCATATTCAAAACGTAATAATCACTTTAATGTAGCTTGCGCTCACTGTTGTAAACGGAAGCAGTTCCGGGAGGATGACGTATGAGGTCGGCATTGCGCATGCGCCGGTGAGTCTCGTGAAAACCAACGTTTGTTAACAGGAGCAAAGGAAGCAAAGTTTCCTTACTTTAACAAAGGAAAATCCGCCTCCCCTTGGCTTATATCGAAATCCTCCGACATTCTTCTTTACAAATCCTTGTTTTGTACTTCTAATAAGTGACCGGTGTTTTGTTTTGATCTCTCCCCTGCGCTTCCACATTCGTCACTTCTGAGCAGCGCAAAGCCAACCTCATACATCATCCTCCTGAAGCTGCTTCCGTTTACAACAGTGAGCGCAAGCTACATTAAAGTGATAGATTCATCTGAAATAAGAAAGTCATGTACACCTAGTATGCCTCGTGGGTAAAACACAGCCTAATTTTTATTTTTGGGTGAACTAACCCTTTAAAAACTAATTCTTAATAAAAATATGAATAATAATAAAAATAACTAACAATTAATACATTGGTCATAAGTTAGACATCTAGCAGCTGAACTTACACCAGATTTAGTGCGAACGGCAGAATAAGACAGGGATTTGGGGAACGAGGACGTCAGCTGTGCTTCATAAGCATCTTCACCCTGGTTGACCACCTTGATCTCCAAGACAATGTCCTTCTGATCACTCAGAGACAGGATGGGAACTCCATTTTCCCTGTGAGGAAAGCAAAACAGAGAGACTCAAATAAGACCACTTTGTTTTGCCATTTGCTTTGAAAAAGAGTGTAGGCACTTTGTTCATTCATTTGAACATAGATTAAACACATGATGTCACTTTAAACAAGACATGAGGAAGCAGCTGCCTGCTTTCTGACATATTAACGACATGATAATAAAATGAAATGATATACATTGCATTGAAAACAAAAAAATAAAAAATAAAAACTCACTCAGGTAATGGATTAAAGACGTCTCTGTTTGGTTCCCTGGTGTGGAATTTATACTGTAGATGCAGGTCACTCTGACAGACATGATCAGCACCACATCCTTCCTTGATAAATTGAACCTGAAAGCCAGTATGATTCAGAATAACATTTAATACTGAATAAGATATGTAGATGCGTTTGGCACTGGTTTACCTCAGTTCTTCAAGTATAAAGAGGCTGAGTTAGTTGGATAAAGTTGAGCTGCTTGTTGGTAAACGGTTTTTAAAAAACTATACATTTAAGATTAACAAACAGACAATGGAATGAAAATGTTTAGTATAAATGTGAAAATACATTTGCCTGATGTGTATGAACAATGTTTCTATAATTACTATGATAATATTTTTATTTATATATACAGTATATATATAATACATTCAAAAGTTTGGGGTCAAACAATTGAAGGATTCAGCATACAGTTAGGTCCACATATCTTTGGACACTAGCACATTTTTTGTTATTTTAGCTCTTTACCAAAACATATTCAAGTTACAGTTATATAATGAATATGTGCTTAAGATACACACTCTCAACTTTAATTTAAGTGTATTCACATCCAAATTCGAGGAAAGGTTTAGGAATTACAGCTCTTTAATATATAAGCTGTTCTATGGAAAGGTATGGGCTATTCCTTTATTATTTAATCTATTAAGAAGGTAAAAGCTGTGGAGTTGATTCTAAGAGTGGCATTTGCATTTGGAAGCCACATCATGTGGTCAAAGGAGCTCTCCATGCAAGTGAAACAGGCCATCGTTAGGCTTCAAAAACAAAACAAAGCCATCAAAGAGATGGCAGGAACATTAGGAGTGGCCAAATCAACAAAAAAGAACACACTTGTGGGTTCAGCGACATAAAAAGACCTGGGTGTCCACGGAAGACAACAGTGGTGGATGATTGCAGGATCCCAGCCATGGTAAAGAAAAGCCCATTTATAACATCTAGCCAAGTGAAGAACACTCTCCAGGAGGTAGGCGTGTCATTGTCAAGAGAAGACTTCACGAGAGCAAATAAAGAGGGTTCCCCACAAGGTGCGAATCATTCAGAAGCCTCAAGAATAGAAGGCCAGATTAGACTTTGCCAAAAACCATATAAAAAAAGCCAGACCATTTCTGGAAAAAAAATATTTGGATGGATGAAACTAAGACCAATCTTTACCAGAATAACAGGAAGAAAAAAGTGGGGAGAAGGCTTGGAACAGCTCATGATCCAAAGCATGCAACATCATCTGTAAAACATGGTGGAGGCAATGTGATGGTATGGGCGTGCATGGCTTCCAGTGGCACTGGGTAACTAGTGTTTATTGATGGCGTGACAGAAGCAGCCGGATGAATTCTGAAGTGTATAGGGATATACAGCCTGCCCAGATTCAGCCGAATGCAGAAGTTGATTGGACGGTGCTTCACAATACAGATGGACATACTGCAAAAGCAACCCAGGGGTGTTTGAAGGTAAAACGTGAAGTTCTGCAATGGCAAAGTCAATCACCTGATCTCAAATGCATTTCACTTGCTGAAGACTAAACTCAAGGCAGAAAGACAAACAAACAACAACTGAAGACAGCTGCAGTAAAGGCCTGGCAAAGCATAACAAAAGAGGAAACCCAGTCTTTGGTGATGTCTATGGGTTCCAGACTTCAGGCAGTCATCGCCTGCCTGCGATTCTCAACAAAACTTTCAAAATGAATATTTTCTTTATGATTTTATTCATTTGTCCAATTACATTTGAGCCCCTAAAAATAGGGGGCCTGTGTTTAAAAATAGTTGCAATTGCTAAACATTTCACATTATATTTTTGTTCAACCCCTTGAATTAAAGCTGAAAGTCTGCACTTCAATTTCATCTTGATTGTTTCATTTCATTTTTATTCTGAAGGCATTCAAACCCACAATTATGAAAAGTGTGTCAGTGTCCAAATATATATAAGCCTAAATGTAGGTGCATTAGGTTATTTTTGTGATATTAAAGATCACTTTTGCATTGTAGCAAAAAAAATCTCAATTTCAAATAGATTCTGTTGAACTTTCCTGAAGAATCCTGAAAAAAAGTATAATGATTTCCACAAAACTATGAAGCAGCACGACTGTTTTCCACATTGATAATAATAATAAATGTTTCTAGCGCAAAAATATATTAAAAATATATTAACAGAAAAAAGTTATTTTAAAATATTTTTTAAGTATTATTGTTTTTACTGTATATCTGATCGAATTATTTTAGCAATGGTGAGCATGAAAGGTTTCTTTCAAAATATTATAGACCACAAACATTTGAAAGACAGTGTATATTGTATATTATAAATATGATCATGGTAGATCACTGAAAATGCAAAGATTGTTTAAGAAGATGGTGGTTACCTTGGTAACAGTGGTGGCATCTTGATTAGAGTCCAGGATGGGAAGCAGGTTAGGAAGAGCATTCTGTCTCTTCCTGCGTGTGGATGGGTTCAGGATCTCCACAGAGACCTCAATCGGGATACCTCTCAGTTTGTCTCTTAGGGTTTCCTTTGCACATAATAAACTTGCATTATTAAAAAATATTAACATTGTACATTGTTTGCAGTATAATGCCATTCCATAACTAAAATGTCAAATGTGCCCTTAAAGGGATAGTTCACCCAAAAATGAAAATTTGATGTTTATCTGCTTACCCCCAGGGCATCCAAGATGTAGGTGACTTTGTTTCTTCAGTAGAACACAAACGAAGATTTTTAAGTCAACCCGTTGCAGTCTGTCAGTCTTATAATACAAGTGGATGGGAATCACGGCTTTGAGAGTCAAAAAACATACACAAACAAAACCAAATTAAACTCTGCGGCTCGTGACGATACATTGATGTGTAAAGACATGAAATGATCGGTCTGTGCAAGTAACTGAACAGTATTTATATCATTTTTTTACCTCTGATTCACTGCAATGTCTAAACTGTCTGAACTGTCCTGAGCCCATCCTCGACAGCCGGCGAGTGACATGCCTTCTTCTTCTTCTTGCTTTATGGCGGATCGCAGACTTATAAGTGCATTACTGCAACCTATGTCTCAAACGGATCATTGACACTCTATCTACAATCTCAATTAGGAGTGTCAATGGTCCATTTGAGACATAGGTGGCGGTAATGCACTTATAAGTCTGCGATCCGCCGTAAAGCAAGAAGAAGAAAAAGACGCGTCACGCGCCGGCTGTCGAGGTGCTCAGGACAGTTCAGACATTGCAGTGAATCAGAGGTAAAAAAACTATATAAATACTGTTCAGTTTCTTGCA